TTTTGAAATTTAGACCAAATAGAACTTAAGATCTGAAAGCAGTATTTATCCGCTCAGTTTTTTAAGGTGTACTCATGTATTTTTGTTTAGTTTCCAGTTCCGCCGTGGCAATTAATCCGCGAAATGAATATCAAAAACTGAGTACCTGACTTCAGCCTAAAAGATTCGGTAATCGTTTCGTTTCGTAAGTAGTGATGATGTTTTTTTCTAAGTACGATGGCCCTTGTAATTAGTACTTATTAAAACACATTTTTTTCGATGAATTACATACAATGACTATAGATTTTAGATTTTTTTTGCTTAGTGTCTAATTTAAGCTATTCATAAAAGGTAAATATAAAGAATATTTATATCTAGTTATAGATTCAATAGAAAAGTAATCAAATGTACTCGAGGAAGATACAAGGTAAAGTAATGTATCTCTACATACAGTATGTAGATACTTGTGTATTTGTTAAATGCCTTATATAGTAATCGATTCAAATGTCATTAATAGTTAGACAAAAGCCATTGCTTTAATGTTATGCTGTTATTAGATCTATAAATGTCAAATGTTAGATCTTTATATTTTACAAATATAAGTTGCCAAATTTATGTAATTCCTGTGATTCTTCTCATACCTCATACTTCTCATACTCTCAAAGTGATGGATTCGTTTGTGTATAAACAAATTCAATTCATTAAATATTCTTGTTCCAATTACACGATTTTTCCTCTATTGCAACCACCTCGAATAAACTATAGAGCTGATAAAAAACGTAATCCTTTTAGAAATTTCATATAAAAAGGTCTACCATATATATTTTTCACCTGCGATACCTTCAATTTTGAATATATATTTGACTTTTACTTTATCTTACAAATATTCATTAGAGTTTCCTTTATGAGAGTAAATGTATACATATATTACTTAAAATTCATAAAACAATATTTGAAGCAAAAATAATAAATAAAATTCACTCGCTTTGACCTTTTGCATAAATTTACTCCCATACACGGTGGGACTACATATAAAGGTGTTCACTACACACATATTTCAATAATATTTCTTAAAAGTTAATATTGCCTGAAGCTTTCATGGGATGATATAATAATTCAAAAACTAAGGGTAAAAGTTAAAATTTTTGAAGTTTGTTTCATTTGCATTGGGTAATTTAAAATGAAAAGATAGTTAAACCTAAGAATGTTAAGCTAACATTTCATAAGAAATTTCGTAAAATAAATTACAAATATTTTTAGCCAAAAGCAAACTGTGTAGTAAAAATTTATTAAAGTCAAATAAAAATATAAGTTGGAAATAATGAAAGTTACACAAAAATTTTTTTTAATTTTTTTTTTTGGAATTGCACAAGTTGAAAATATATTTTTTTTAAATAAAAACAAAAATATATTTTAATTTAAAAAAATTATCGATGAAACAATTTATTTTTTCAAGTGTAAAACTCTGTCACTCATACGCGCAGTATGTCATGTGAAATTGTTCGCCTCTCAATCGTGTTTGTAGGTAGAAACAAACACATTGACATATATATGGAGTGAGGTACTTAAATGTACTGGTTGTCTTACTTTTCATATTTCATTACTAGTTCATTTGTAATTCCGAAAATTGATTCTGATAAGACATGTGTTCTACAATGATATCGGTAAGCAATCTATTTGGGTCTTTAGTCATTAAACAGGATCACATGTAAAATTTTAATACAAATCTGTTGATTACTCAAAATTTGATTATTGGAAAATTGAGTCAGTGAACGTAAATATTTGAAATTTAGTAAAATAAATATAAAAAACTTTATTTAAAATAAAAACAAAAATAAATAAAATATAGAATTTAGATAAAATATTGAATGAATCTATTCGAATTAACATATGGATTGATTGTTTTTTTATCAAATTGAAATAAAATATAAATATATAATATAATATAATAAAATATAATATAATACATAATATAAAACACGCTTTAACTAACTTAAACTCTAACTTTCTTAATCATGTTCGAGACATAAGTTTTATGAAACATTATTGACCCCATATGTGAAAAAAGCGATTCTGGTGATGCTAATACCAATAACAAAACCTAGATTGATGTTTATATCTTAAATCTAATATTAACAAAGTTTGAGCTTAATATATTCTTTTGGATGGGAGCTATAATTCATAGTAATGGAGAGAAGGCTTCTCCGGAAACGTTTTGTGACAAATTTTATAACAGTTGACAGCTAGGTGAATCCTGTAAGCTCTGGAAATATGACACATGAACTATATCGATTTATAATAGAGATCAGTAAACAGATTTGTTTAAAATATTCCATACCAGCTCTAGTTGTGCAGAAAAATATGAACATGGAATGAGTGTATAAGGCTTATATTTTTTAAAGATTTTTTTTTTCAGATTGAAATTGAAAAAATTCAAATTAAATTATTATCCTAATAAAGTTTCTTACAACTGTTTTTTGTATATCTTACGCCCGCCCAAAAGGAACATTAGAATATTTCCAAGGTAAGGCATACTTGTTGTAAGAGGTAACTAAACTTCAGTAGACACCACCTGATACTGTTTGGAGTATAAATGGTAGTAGGGGAGTTTGTTTGGCGACACTCGATCGGAGGCGTCGATCTGGTGCCATTTGGTCAGAGCTCACAGCCTCGGCTCTCCCAACAAATTGAGATTGTCCCTTTAACATGAGTATCGTGGTGGCTGTGGTTCAAATTCAAAGTTCTTATATATTTTTGTTATTTTTTTAACTAAATGAACTAAGTCCCTTTTGCACATATGAATTGTTCAGTTCCACTATATCCTTAACTTTCATTTCGAAATCAAAATTTTAATTTTCTGCACATTTTTTAAATAAATATACATCAAATAAAACGATATATTGTACACATAACCTAAATTTACTTTTTTTAATTTAGTTTAATTATTTTTGTTTCGAAATTCTCAAAGTTTCATTTAAAATAAATTGTAAATCAACAAATGTAAGAAGAAAATTGCACATAACGCCTTTGAGAATATTTACATATTGTAAAAACAACGAAAAAAAAAGAAAACAAACACACCAAAGTAGAAAAACGAACCGCAATCAGGGGTGAAGGGTATTTGGCTGCTATGTTTGGTATGCGCTCAATGTGCTTTGCCTTTTCAAAGCAATCCATTTCAACTCAAACTCATTACACACAAACATTACACATTGTGTAACAAGGGTTCAATTTTTTGTGTTAAATAATTGATGTTTAATTGTTTTGGGTTTGCTTTTAACTGTTGATGTTGTTTTTGTTGCTAACCTACCAACAAGTCAACATACGTTAGTAAAAGAGACAGACGTTTCTCCTTAGGCGCTTTCCATCTTGCATACATGTTTTATTAGTGCTAGCAGTGGAAAGGCTTTGTACCCATACATGCATTCATTCACAATACAACGCCAGTGTAGGTAAACAAATTATTTTGCTTCGCTTTGAGTTTCTGATGCGACCAATATTTTGTGCTCCAATTTGGGTAACTTCTGTGTGTTTTTTAATCAAAATTGTTGTTTTGGTATGTGAAAACTTATCCTGAGCAAAACTTATCCTGTGTTTCAATGTTAACTTAATGGTTACTTAATTGAAATTCAATGTAAAATGTATCAATTTTGTCTTCCTAATATTCTAATTTTCTATTTTGTTTCATTAAAAATATAAACTCAGCATCATCAATGGTATTGAAATGTAAACAAGAGTTTATGGAAGAAATTTACATATTAATTACGATAATGGAAAGTTTTCTCTTGTGTAGAAGAGAAATTTTCTCAGTTGTATGTTATTTGTAATTTAATTTGTACGATTTAAATTTCACAAATGTTCAAGTATTGGGATTTGTTTATGCGAATACGCTACAATAAAATATTTTATTACTTATTGCCACAAATTTATTATAATAAACATATAAAAACAAAATAAGTAACGAAAGAGTTCACAGTAAAGAATTTTTGTTACGAATATTGAATCAGCATTGACAAGCGGAACACACTCGGCTGAAACAATCAGGTGCACCTAATATGGATTCCGGGACATGCTGGCATTTAAAGCATTGAAATGGCAGACAAACTTGCAAAAACAAGCATGGCTTCAAGAATGATAGGCCCTAAGTAAGTAATGGTCTAAGTAAATAAACTCTATTAATTTTTATGAACGGCGCAGAGGAAAGAGAACTCTATTGGGAAAGCCTACCAAGCCTATCACAATCTAAAATGCTTCTAGGGACTTACAACCTAAAACACTTCAAAGATTGCATGTACTATGCAAAAAATAACCTAAGCATTATTGCGGTATTATTGACCGGTCACTGTATATTGAATAATCACCTATCGAAGTTAGGAATTCAATCCAATTCAATCTGCAGATACTGTAGAGAAGAGAGAGAAATTGCATACAATGTGCTTGGAAAGTGCTCGGCACTGATGCACAAGCGAAAAAACACTTAGGAGGGTATTTCATGGATCATAAGAATCGATAACTAGGAAAGATAGGCTATGTAGTGTCTTTCATTAAAGAAATCGGACTTGGAAAAAAACTCTAATCCGGCTAAGGAGCACAATAGATCTTTTAGGTGTCAGCGCACTATCCCTTTTTTTCAATAATAATGTAATAATATCGAATCATTTGTCAAATGCACCTTCGTTGATGTTAAAGGCATTAATATTTTAGTTACATTGACGGCAGTTTATTTTACTGTTACTTACAGACATTTATTTCTATATAACAATTATATTTATTTATTTATTTTTTTAATAAATATACATATATTCGTATTTAAACTGCAGTTGTTATTTTATTAAATAATTCAATTTTTGTTTACAGATTTTTAATGATGCGAGAACATTGTTTAAGTACTTCTTAATTCAGGCTACACTTTGGAACGCCTTTTGTCGAAATAAAATAAATAATTAAATAAAAATTTAATAAAGAAAATTTATTTTAATTGTTTTTTATATGAAAATACATAAAATAAATTAATTTCCAAAATGCATCTTCACTTTGAACGTAATGTGAACACAAAATGCGATTGCACAATCCTATCGTTATCATGGATGGGAAAAGTACCAGATGATATTCCGGAGGTAAGTTGTAAAAAGAAAAATAATTTTCACATAAAATGAAAATATTATTATTGCCAAAACAATAAACAAAAACAATTTTAATAAAAAAATAATATTATTCTGAGTTTTTATGTCTATCGAAAATGTTATTTTTTTCTTCTTCTTATTTGTTATTTTTGTTAATTATAGTCAAATAAAAATTGTACTTTATTTTCGCTATAAAATTATACAGTTATCTTTGAAATTGACATAGTAATCAACTTTAATTTTAATTGATTTAAAAAAAGGATTTTTAGCAATTAATTTCGTCCTTTTACGCTCAATAAATTCAAATCAAAGCATATTAAGCGCGCACTTAAGTGAAGATAAATAAATTTGCAATTTTATTAAAATAAAAGTTATGCTATTTACTGGAATTTGATTATTATGAGTATAATTTTGTCATTTTATTTACAGTCTTAATATTTACAAACTTTTCAAAAGTTTAAGTACTTAAAAGTGTAACAATAACTCAGACGAAGTTTCTTAAACAGAAATTTGTCCAATATTTTTAGAATACATAAGAATCTCTACTTAATTCTACAATATTCATTTAACAATACGTATTAATCTTCCACAGCTTCTCGAATATTACATTTTGTATTTCATTTTTGACATTTTCTGCAAAGAATCCTAAAGGTTCTTTGGTTCATATTTTTTATTGTCTATTATTAGCTGGAAAACCAATCTCAGAGTAATCAAAATTAGTAGATAATAGCTAATAACTTATATTTAAATGGAAGGGTGCAATGATAACTCTTTGCAAGTACCAGGAAATACAGCTTTCTTGTAGAGGTTACAGAAGTGCTTCTTTGATATAAAAAACTTCTGTTGAGTACTTATTTCTATAATATTTCTAGTTAACGCTAATAACGCTAAGATGAAAGCGTTCATGTTGTTTCTGTTGTATCTAGATAAAATCTAAAAATTTTTATCTTTCTGTATGGTTCTTTAAATCCAACACAATTTGGGTTGCTTGAATGCATTCATTTGTTACGAGTTTGCTAGCGACAGAATTCAAAGATTGTCAATGTAATCCTAGCGAATGGAATAAATTACATTGCTGAATTTCATTAATACAACATATTGTCTAAAGTCCAACTTCCTTTATAAATTGAAGTGAAGAGCTTTATTTCTATATCCAATACAATCTATTCGCCTAAGTCTTTCTTTCATATATGCAGCAGTGCCGGATAAAATCTCAGTAGATGGAATTGTACTGAAGTATATTTTTTGATCTCATTTTCTATAATTTTTTTCGGATGCATTCTCCAGATTTCTATCATTGTTTTAATATTTAACCAACAAAATATGATGTACACTTTTATTAAAAAAATTAATAATTTATTTCTTTGATTATTATTAATTATTAAGAGAGTAAATGCATTTGATTTTGTATAGAAAGATACAGTTTTTAGCAAGAAAGATACAATTTGAAACAAATAATAAAAAAAAAAACATATTTTGTAGAAAAAGTATTTCCGCTTATTTAATTTGATTTATTGATTATAAGAAAAGATATATAAATTAAATAAATATAAACAGTATTAAAAGTTTCTGTGATTAAAAGTTACTTTTAGTGAGAACAAGAATAATAGTAAAAAAAATTTGAATTTTGCAAACATTTTCTTGCCATTGTATATAAATACTAATAATACCTGAAAAAATTATTAATTTGCATTGCTTACTTTTAATTCAAAGTATTTTATAAAAAAAAAAGTATTAGAAATATTAACTTGAATAAAAAATTTATCTTCAAAAAAAAAAAAATCTTACGGGTTACTTACGGATAGCTAATAGAAGAACTCTGTTATTACCATGGAAATGATGACGTCAATTAACATTTTTCTCTATAAAAAAGTGCGAAAAAAGTTTCTTAATCTTTTTCAACTTTTTTTATAAGTGCAATGACCAGAAGAATAATTTTAAAATATATGAGCAGAGCACGGAGGATTCTGGAAAAATGGAATTATGAAAGTAAGCAAAAATTAGGAATTAAAAAGCATCCTTCAAGCATCCTGCAGTAGCACTCACCGCATTTTTACGGAAAGTTGTTGGTGTGAAGATTTAATTTAAGGATACTTAACAAATACTTTTCATTAAATTTTTACTTACGCATATTTTAGCTTAATGTGTTGCCTTTAGCCTTAAGCTACGAGTATTAATGTTTGTTTCCATGAAAGCGAATTAAAAATATCTCAACATTATTCCTCCTATTCGTATTTTTCCTGCTTAATTTAAAAGTCTAACAAGTTTCAGATTTTTCAAAAATCCTTTTTCATACCACTTTAGCACAAATTATAGCTTATTATAATTTATGTAAGAATTTCAAAGAAAATTATGATGCATGTCTTCTTCATTTCTCTTCAATGCTTAACATTTTGCATACTTGATGTCGATGTATTGACATTGTAGTCACAAATTTAAAGGAGCATTAAAATGTACGTTCAGCTATGACAAAGTGTATGAGTCCTAGCAACTTTGTACATTAACAGCCACTTTAACAAATAAATGAAATATTAATAAAGCGCTCAAACCCTGCCGTCAAATACCGTGTCCACCACCCCAAAATCCAGGACAAACTTTCTTAAAAGCTTGTCATATCAGTTGGCGTTTTACGCTTTCACATCAAGAGTATTTCATCAAAGCAAACTGACACAAAATACAATAAATACTTCTGTATGGAAAAATCCAAACAAACCCTTAGCCAATTTTAATCTTAAGCAACATGGTAAGCAATGTCCTTGCTCGGTTCGAGCACAAAATGAGCAAACTCATGCGCTTGTATGTTTCGATATCAATTTTCCCTATACTTTGTCAACTCGAGATTTTTAACTCGAGTTGCACTTTCTGGTACTGCCACATCCTGTACTCCCCCCTCAGGAAAAGTTATGTAACTAATGGGCGTCGGCATGCAAGTGGGGGTGTTTTGGTGTTTGTGTGTTTTTACGAGGAGTGCTGTGTATCTTGTTATTTTGCAACGATAAATTGACATAACAAAGTCACTTGTTCTTTTATTTTCGTTTACAAACGTCATTTGTTTACGATTGTTGCAATAAAATTTTAGAAAAAAATTTACGATTATGGGAATTTCGTTGGAGTTTCACATGCAAAGGAAGTTGGAAAAAGATATTGTATCTTTTGTATTATATCATTTAATGCAAATAAACGAAGCCAATTCAAAGAAAACTTAAAAAAATATTTGTAGTTCGGAAATCCTTGCAGATAAACAGTGCAAAATTTAGTCGAAATAGTTTAGGGTGAGACGCAATTTATTCCGAGAAAAATAAATAGTATGAGGTACGTTCTTACACTCAAATACTTTAATAAAAGTTGAAAAACTAATATAAGAATACTCTAAATGAATACACAATATTTCAGTTATTCAAAGTAAATTTTAACAAAAAAATGCATTAGTTTGTTATATACAAATAACTTTAACTCTGATAATAAAAATTTGTGTCGACAATACACTTTACAGAAATACTTTCGCGTGCTTTATATGAGAAAACTCGCGAGAGCACATCCCAGACTTTAGAATCCAAAACAAAACTCTATATGATTCACCTCCAAGCACCAATACAAGAGAAGATATTTAATCTTCTTCTTAATCTTAATTGTAGACTAAAATGTTTTTTGTCAAGCTGTCAGTTCCGATCACAGTCTATAGCAAAATGAATGAATTAAATCCTTTGCTAAACACTTTCCCGAAATGCCACCCAAAAATATCATTTTTCAAATTATTAGACTAAGTGATTAGTTGGTTTGTTTTAGGGGCGGTAGAACCTACTCTGCTGTGCAAATAGCGCGTAAATGCAATTGTGTTATCTCTCACTTGGAGATAAGATTTGGGATTAGCAAATCAGATTATATTATGGAAACATATTATGGATGTGATCTTCCTGATTGCACGGTGCATGTGCATTAAACTGCAGCACACAGCGTTTGACGTCAAATCCGACTAAAGTCTTGCTTAAGAAATGGTAAATTTTTTTTTTAAATGCCTGGTGACTCTATCTCAGAAATAGTTAGCAAGTACTGCTTAGATTTATAAAAAAGTCTACTACAAAAAATCTACATGAGGTTCAATGCTATCTGGTATTGCTATGAAGATCTATATGTAACTAACGATTAGCTGGAAAAACCTACCCTAACTTATATTTAGGGGTCTACCAGGATTATTAATTTGTAGACTTACATAATAGCAATATCATAATTCTTCTTTCCTAGGAAGTTTCAGTTATCTCCTTAGTATCTTCTTTCCACCGGCTTGTACAATTCTGAGCTAAGTGAGAACCTAATTTTTCTGCAAGTGCTTACTGGTCGGTACACCGAGGTCGTATTCAAGAGAACTGAATTATTCGATATAGCCAAACTATTTCATATTAAAAGTTTAGCCCATTTACGACGAATTCATTTGTCTTTCAATAAGATTGGAAAAGGAAAAAATAGTTTAAACATTAAAGAAATATATAAATAAAAATATTAAATATTTCAAACGTTCTCTCAAGTACGAAACTTTGTACGCATTTAAAGCAAAGGTTTTTAACAACTTATTAAAAATAAAGAAAAGTATTTTAAAGATAGTTTTTAATAAAATACAAGTAAGAACTTTTCATTACCTTCACTCCGAATTCCTTTTAAACATTCCTTTTCCACGTTAAGTGCTAAAGAGTTCTGCCTCCTCATTTCTTATCAAAAGTATTTCCGTTGAGTTATGCGCACAATTAACTTCTGCAGCATCATTAGTGAAATCCCCGTGCAAGAGTTAAATTGAAGTACTTAACACATTAAAGATCATTACTTCACCAGGAGAGTATTGAAATTCACAGACACAACAAAACCCCACCAACACTTTTGTTTGGATAATTTTTAATTATACTCGTTAAAGTAAAGTACAAAAAATATATTTTAATTATTTTCGCCACCAATGGTAACCACATTTCTGCGAATCTCATTCAAATGACAGTTACTGCTTCGCA